CGTTTCGCCAATATGATCGGGACTTGAAAATATTATTCGGATGACCGAGGTTGAATTGAATTGGCGCAGCCGACATTTTCAGACATATTGTATCTAAGTTCATTTGTCTTCGTTACGTAGAATGCTCACAGATTGTATTGTTATCATTGTACAGATTCTTGTTTGCTTCAAACAAATTTTACAAAGGGGATATAACGCTCAAGGCGAAGTCCATGGACATATTTTGGACCGTGTATGGTCACCATGGCATCCGTCGTTTGAATTAGAATTGCGACTACTTCCAAGTGCCTGGTACACGGTCTTCTAAAATGTACAGCTTTTAGGATATTCTAATGTAAGTTGGGCAACAGAGTGCGATGGCCATTAGGTAGTCTACTAAACTTATGCGAGCCCTGGGATATATACTTAGCGACTGCCTTGCGTTTTCGTCTATTTTTAGACAGATGCTACCGAATACTCCCAACCGTAAAGCAACGTTAATGAAACATTTCCTAATACGAACTTTGCTTTCAGATCGTAATCCCCTTGCCATTTTTGCACTGAAGTTTTGGATCTTGGGACGTCACACTGCAGTTGTTCCACTTAATTTAATGCTAACATATTCGACGATGGAGGTTGGGCAGTAAGTAGGTAGATAAACTAGTTGTGCTTGTTGGCGTCACGATACGCCACTGCACCGTTGTACGTTACATCTCCAGTTAATTTAAGAGCCCAATGATAATTTTGAATTTTTCTGGATCTTTTGAGGTCACCATTTACCTAAAAGAATATGGCAAATATTAGTTTTGGGTAAATTTATTAATCATCCAGAGAGCCCTAATTGTGACGGATTTAGGCACGGCTAGATAGAAACCTAGTGTCCTTCCTAGCAGGGGATGGCATGATCTCCGACCGTTCCCATAACTCTGCGACGCTGTGTAAGATCGTTTATGTATCATTGTAGGGACCTTCGAAAATCCTATATTAGGGTTTGACGTTGCCAAGAATGCGACGAAATGGTGAAATCACAGGAGAGTTTTTGCACTTCTATATCCATACGCACATTCCCTGCTGCCAT